ACAGGTTTTTAAGTTTCCTTTTATATTAAAGTATTTCAGGCAGTACATTTACATGACATTAGAGAAAACTGATTTACTGTGTTAGTCTGACTAAAACTGGACTTTTAAAGTACATATAAATATGTTAGTCCAACTGAAATCATACCAAATTGAATTTCTCAAAGTCGGACTAAGAAACCCAGATAATGCGATTGGGAGTTGAATTACACCTGCATGTATACAGTCAGTCAGGCACAAACTGGTCGAGGTGCTTAGCGAATGCTCCACAGTTTCCACCTCAGGCTTTGACCCAGAAGTTAAAAGCATTGATGCGTAATAAAAGAAAAAGCATACAGCATGTACGAAATGTACTGAGCTATAAAGTTGCTCACCATGGTACCAGTTTGTCGCTAGTTGATTGTAGCTATCTTGTTTGTCGATTGTTTGGTCTGTGATGTACAAGTCAACCAGAAATAGGTCCAGTACTAACAAGCTGAAAGGGGGCATATCACCACCTATCATAGCAGAGTCAAACATACTTTGGTCAATAAATCAATTCCCCTCCTGTGCTTGGACTGTAGTCCAATTAAATGTCCGAGTCACGCCATAACTGTAGCTCGCCTTAACTGTGCATGTAAACGTACTGACTGATAGTTCTCTGTCTATCCATGGGCACATTGCTAACAGTACCTGCTCATAGCTAATTCCGCAGCTGTGGCTGGACTGAATTAAATTTTAGAGGGCTTAGGTGAAAGGTCAAGATCACTCTGACCTTATCTGTCTCACTCTCCTGAACAGGATATTTCAATAAGGCCTTGAAAGAATTTCTTAAAATTTGGCACAAATATTCACTTAGACTTGGAAGGAACTGATCAAAATTTGTTGGTCAAAGGTCAAGGTCACCGTGACCTTGTCAAGAAGGCTTTGAAGCAGTTTCTTCAAATTTGGCAAAAAGATCCACTAGCACTCAGGTATGAACTGATTTGAATTTGGTGGTCAAGGGTCAAAGGTCAAAATCACTGTGACCTTGCATCCGTCTCATTCTTGTGAACATGATATCTCAAAAACGCATTGAGAGAATTTCTTAAAATTTTGCGCAAACATACACTTGGACTCAATGATGACATGATTAGAATTTGGTGGTTAAGGGTCAAGGTCACTTTGACCTTGAATCCGTCTCATTCTCGAGAATGCTATATCTCAAAAATGCATTGAGGGAATTTATTCATATTTGGCACAAATGATCACTTGGACCTAACAATAAAACTGATTAGAATTTGGTGGTCAACGGTCAAGATCACTATGATGTTTTGTGTGTCTTATTCTCGTGAATGCGATATCACAAGTATGCCAAGACACAATTTCTTCAAATTTGGAAAAAAGATCCAGTAGGACTAAATGATGAACTGACTTGAATTTGGTGGTCAAAGGTCAAGATCACTGTGACCTTGCATCCGTCTCATTCTCGTAGACATGATATCTCAAAAATGCCTTGAGGGAATTTCTTCAAATTTGGCACAACTGTCCACTTGGACTCAAGGTCATTGTGACCTCACAAAACATGTTTTTGGTCATAACTCAAGAATTTATATTTATGAATTCTTAAAGTAATTATGACAAATTTTCTAACAAATGCCTCAGAATAAAATGATGAACTGATAAAAATTATTTATATTGAAGAGCTCAAAGGTCAACTTCACTGTGACATCATAATGTTCTACAAAAACACTTTTCTGGCCATTAGTCAATGTCATATCTCAGGAACAGAAGGGGAGACATTTGGCCAGATACTGAATTGATTGGTGGCACTAATCTTGGGTGCCCACCTTGAAACTGTGCTGATTGTATAGCTCTGTGCTGTTGGGGGGGCAACGTTTGAAGCATCCATGTTTTCACAGACATAGATGTAAACTGTAAGAGAAACTTGACTGGTGAGTGCAGGCATACAACTGTGTAGCGGCAATGCTACTTTTTTTATTGTATAATTATTTTAGGAATTCTGCATCACTGATACTTTTCAAATTACCAGTTTAAATGTCACATATCCCCTGCAATACTCCAAAGTACCCCTAGGGGTACCCATACCCCCATATGAGAAACACTGCCCTAAAGAAATCAATCCAGTCTGAATGGGTCTACAGACAGGATTTTAGGACTCAAGGTTATTCAGGTATCAGTGATACAAAGTAATCTACCAGGGGCTTGCATGTATTTGATTAACCAACTCAGCCCCTTGCATTTTTTAAACACAATTGCTCTTGTTGGTTTGAATGGTCAGTGAACATGATAGCATTTAAAGGGTGTAATGATTTAAACTTTAAACTATGTATGGATTTTTTTTAATGTGGTTATTGATTTTTCTTTAGAGTTACTGTGTATTTTTCAATTATGACTGAATTATAATGGTATTGCTACTTTGTGATTCTTATTATGATCACCCGATGGTGCACAAATACAGTATACACAAAACAGTTTGGTTTTGGCCTAAGTGCTTAATTAATGAGTCATAATGTGTCAAATAGTCAGATAAATATTACTAAGTGCTGTCTGCATCCCCCCATGACCCTCACAAACTGTGTGTTCCTGCTGAACAAGGAGTCCTGTGTTTCCTCAAGTGACAGACCATTTCAAATAAACACACCCACGGCTGGGTGACCAACACATGTCTCTGTCGACACGCCTCTTGTCTGTCCAAACAAACATGGACTGTCGTCGATCCATGAATATGAGCCGTCCACTGCTGGCCTCCCCTATGTGACCATCAACCTGTCAGAGGAAAGCAAGAATTAAAAACAGCCTCACATCTGTAAGTGTGTGTCGAATGGAAGGGTTCTTAGAATATATCCTATCCATCTGACAAGCAGCTTAAAGACACAGAGAGAAACATTTTTGCTAGATGAGGTCATTTTGGACGAAGGGAAATTCCACGTTTTACAACCTGAGTCTTGTTTTTGTAGTTTTGACCGTTGTTCCTGGTGGTTATGATTACACCAGCTTCATTTATCAGGGGACACCAAGACTCCTTCAGACTGCTTTACACCATAGTGCACGTGGCAGCAACACAAGTTTCAACATGTCATCTAAACCACCTTAAAGTGAGACTTTTCAAATAAGAAATTACACAATCATCCTTTTGGGATTCTAAGCAATAAAACACACCCTCGCTTAACTCAATACAATCAGGGGTTCTGCTGCAACAGCCTTACTTGGTCCTTTGGTACATTTCCACAGCACTTATTCTATCAGTGCAACAACAGAGTCATGTCATACTCTCCATCCTGCTGAGGACACTTTCTCTTTGCAAAGAAATAGTTGGGGAACATGCTTATTTGTTTTCTGGTGGAGATTTGGATTAGAAGAGCAACACTAGCAGCTGCAGTAGAAAAAGTCAGAATAGTCTTTGGCATGAATATTACCAGTCCTCCAGTGTTGATTTATTGTGCACGTGCAGCTGGATGAAAAGCTAAAGCAACGCCGCATATCTGTCTGTTCAGGGCTTTACAGCCAAACTTGACAGAGTAGGTTGTGTCTTCCAGCAGAGAAGGAATACATGAAGAGGGTGATTGTCCTTTAAAATTTGTAAGACAAAGTTGTACGGTGTGTGTGTGTGTGTGTGTGTGTGTGTGTGTGACTGCATGGTCTGGTCATCTTAAATTGCCCTTACAAGGGGACAGTAATGAAAGCATGTCCTCATATTCCCAGTCTGCACCAAAGAATGAATGACTTCATGTTTTGGAAAGAAAGAAAGAAAAAAAAAGCAAGTATGGAGCAGCCTGCAACCTGAACACACCACTGAGCCACCATCCACTGCTACGGCTACATATACACTTACTGCTGTTGCTAGGATTCAAAAATTTGTGTCCTGTATGCTCACTGATTAAAGTTTACAGTCTTTTAACCAATAATATTACTCAAATGGGCTACTGCTGTCAAACACTAAAGAATGTTTAGAATGTTTGTAAACAAACTGAGTGGATGACCTGAGCATCCGGAAGATTTATCAAAAGAATATCTGGAATGGGAAATTAAGGAAAATGTGTATATACTAGGGATGCATGATATAGGATTTTTGCCAATATCCACATATGTTTTTCCACCCAATTGCAGAGAACGTCAAGTCTATCCTGTATGCCTACTCCACCAGGGCCATATTGTGATGGTAGCTGTAGACATAAAATACAATGCTTTTCAGAATGTACACTGGGCAGAAAGAGAAAACTACTTTAACTTAGATTACATGTAAAACATGCCATACTTGATTTCATGTAACATTTTCAAAGAAAACTGTTAAATTCATCCCACTTGAACGGGCGTGGATGATGGTCTCCGTAAGACAACCCTGTCAGTAGCCAAAACCAAGGCAAATTTGACCTGTTTCAAGTAATTAAAGTCATATAATTAAAGCGTCATCTTACTGGCCTGTCATATTGGCAGAGATGTTCATTTCGTTTTAAGGCTGTTATCTGCAGATACTAATGACGTGCCAATATATATTATGCATCCCTATTCCCTAGTATATACTGTGTGTCAGACCATGATCCACCACCCATCTACTGGTATTAAAATCACTGGAAAGATAAACCTGGTAAATCTTGAACAATATCTGCACAGTACATTTCCTTGTTTATGGACAATTTGAATATTAAAACAGCAAAACAACCTATCAAATAAACATTTGCAGACTGAAATATGCATTATAGATGCTATTAATATAT